TAGATACAAGCAGTTTCCTGGACAGTACATGTCCGCTATTATTTTTGGTGGACACGTAACATGTAGCGAAGCTACTGTCGTATCCTTGAGTGACCTTGAATCCTGTAATGATTCTTTACACCAGTATGAATTACACAATGCACACTTTCTGGCGATATGACATGTCTCCAAAACTCGTTCAAACCTGGAAACATGGAGAGTCAAACATACCCCATTTACGGCTCAAAATGACTGTAACGGTTGTCCCGAAAATCGTGTTTTAGGGATTTTTGAAAAATGGCCTCAATTTTGAATTATGGGTAATTTAGTGAGAAAAAATGTAAAAAAAATAGCAATTTTTTCACCAATATGTTGACAAAAACTAGACTTAAAATCAAGAAATTAAAAAAATCCCTAAAACACGATTTTTTGTCTTATTCCTAGTCTGCGAAAAATATAAAAATCGGGGATCTGGGGTAATATACGTAACCAGGTTTGAACGATGTTTGCCTAAAAACGTGATATGACTTGTGCTCGGAAACCCGAAAATAATCGTCTTTCTGAGCGAAATTTAAAAAAATCATTGATTTAACATAAAAAGCTAACATTTAAAGGATGTTAAGACGATAATTTCATTTTAATTTGACGAAATTTACCCCTAAATATTATTTGTGTATTTTCAAATATTTTACGGGTAGTCCAAAACAGGCCAAAATAGAGTCTTGTAACCCGATACCTTTTCGAACGCGCATAGCAATGGGAAAGAATGCCGTAGTGACAGACCGCCGTGGTTACTCAAGCAATGGTTTTGGATATCAATGCAAATAACAGTATTTGGATATCGTTCCAAAATCATTTAGAGTATCCCATTACCTGAAGTCTAACATTCATCGACGTAACCAGGATATTTATAAAATGTCGTGTTGACCGCAATCTTGAACGAAAATGGTGAGCCAAGGATAATAGTGTGTTTTTACATATTGTGGATTGTATGTTTCTCTTACCAACTTGTACATAATTGATATATATATATATATATATATATATATATATATATATATATATATATATATATATATATATATATATATATATAATCTTCAGTCATATTTTGGGAAACTACCGAATTTTTTCAAGTTGTTTCTCTTGCTATCAGGAATGTCATAAGTGAATACATGACACACACCGTTTTTTATTCTTACCTTACACAGAACGTCCGGACGATGTAAGGCTTAGCGTCACCACCGTCAACTCTACAGCCCTACAAGTCACGTGGACTGTCGGCATGACTGGAAACCTGGACATCCTCGACTCCCAGGTCAGGTACAGGGGATTCATCGATGGTGAATGGACACCACACTCGCCGTGGAGAGCAACAGGAATTTCCAGCACAAACGGTACCGTCCGCATCTCTGGCCTGTTACCCGCTGTGTGGTATCATGTACAAGTCAATGTGAGAAATGCGCTGGGATGGAGTTGGCCGCCTTCATGGGCCAGTGGAACTACAGATGAAGCACGTAAGTACAAATTATAGCTTCTTAATCTTGTACATCTAATGTGCATGTAATTGTTAAAAGCTGTGTTGCCCCTACGGCAGACGAGATGATGATGATAATGAATCTTAATAACTGTGCATAAACAGATTCTCAGACACGTCATAAGCGTATGAAGTGCTTGATACGAGTCTATTTTCTACTGTAACAGCAACATCGTACATCAACTGGCTACATAGCTTAGATTGAGGTGCGTGCATATCCTTGGATATGACAAGTTGTATACACCCAACAAATAATGCACAACATATTCCTATGTTGCGCCAAAAAGCAGTTACTCAAGCAACTGGATATGATTTTGAAAACGTCAGACGTTTCAGCTAGTATCCACTAGCTTTCGTCAGTGACTGAGAGACCAGAGGGAAAACAGGTTTATAAGCACAACCTATTGATTGATATGCAAATAAAGTGAAGACAAATTTTTGGAAGTCGAAAAAGGAACAAAGGTCAGACAAGTCAAGACAAGATGATGCAAATTAGTCTGAAAGCTCCTGTTATACAGAACAGGAGCTTAAGTGTTGTCTGTTCTCGGGGCTGGGAGTGCCAAATCCCAAGTGCCGGAAAGATCGACCCGTAGCCCCCTTCCCTGTTGAGGGTGGGGTTGTACATTCTTTCATATATTGCCTCTTTCACACCCCGTTCCCACCAGCGTGTTTCGCGGTCTAAGATATCCGTGGACTCGAGTTTGAAAGAGTGACCCTGGTTGTGTTGTAGGTGGTGGAAAATAGCTGAGGAGTAGCCGTTGGCACTAGGTCGGCAATGTTCTTTGTATCTTACTTTGAGCGGTCGACTTGTCTCTCCGATGTAGGTGTTGTTACAATTGGGCTCCTCACATTTGAGTCTGTAAATAACATTCGCCTTGGTACCTTTGTGAGGTCGGTCCTTAGGGTGTACCAGTCTTTGTCTGAGGGTTGAGTGAGGTTTGAAATTAGTGGCTATGTTGAAGTTTTGGAAGATCCGTCGGAGTTTCTCAGATACTCCTTGGACATATGGAATAGTGATGTTGGTCTTGTTTTGTTGGTCAATGGTTTGCACTTCTGGGTTTTCTTAGACTGATCTGTAAGGTTTGAGCGCTTTGTTGAAAGTCCAGTTTTGGTAGCCACATTTAGCCAGGGCACCTCGGAGGTGTCTATGTTCGTCCGTTTTGGCTTGGTCTGAAGTGATAATGTTGTCTGCACGATGGAAGAGAGTTTTGATCACTGCTAGTTTGTGTTCCAAAGGGTGGTGGGAATCAAAGGCCAGGTACTGATCAGTGTGGGTTGGTTTCCTGTACACTTCAAAACGAAGGTTACCATCTTCCTCTACGATAGTTTTGGTGTCTAGGAAGGGGAGCATGTTGTCATGGCTTGGCTCCTGTGTGAACTTGATGTTGTCATCTATCTGGTTGATGTGGTCAAAGAAATCAGCAGCTACCCTCTTTTTCAATCTGCACCAAGTGTCATCTACATATCGAAACCAGTTGGCCGGGGGAGTGTCATTGAAAGTGCTGAGGGCTTTGTTTTCAAACTTCTCCATGTACAGGTTTACAGCAATTGGTGAAACTGGTGATCCCATAGCACAGCCGTGCATTTGTTGGTAGAACTGTCCTTTGTAGGTAAAGTATGTGCATCCTAAGCAGAGTTCTAGTAGCTCACAAACTTGGTCAACGGATACGTTGGTTCTATCTGCAAGTGTATCGTCGGCTTCCAAGGCTTCCCTGACTACTGACACTGCTTCCTTAGGTGGTATGGAGGTGAAAAGTGAGCACACGTCATACGAAGTGATGGTTTCATCACCCTCTACATGAATGTCTTTGATTTTGTTGACAAAGTCGGCACTATTCTGTACATGGTGCTGAGATTTCCCAGCTAGTGGTCCCAAAATCTTGGCTAGAAAACCTGCTAGCTCATAGGTGACAGAGCCTATACTGGAGACTATGGGTCGTAGAGGGACACTTTGTTTGTGGATTTTTGGGAAGGCCGTAGAAAGCAGGGGGTTGTTCCGTTGTGGGATTGAGTTTTAGGTAGGTGGGGCGATCCAGAGTGGAGTGGAGTGGAGTGGAGTGGAAACCTCCTGGAAAAAGACCCCTTGGCAGACCCAGGATGAGATGGACTGATGGTCTGAAGAAAATCCTGGCCAAAAGAACAAACATTTCCTTTGAAGAAGCCGAAAAGCTGTGCGGAAACCGCACAGCTTGGAGAAGTCTGATTGGGACTCTCAACTGACAGACCAGTATGGTCTACAGGCAATCGGGTGAGAAGGTGAGAAGGGGCGATCCAGAAATCCTTTTTGCAGTAGCGCCCAACAAGATTCCCAGCATTGACATTGTCACAGAAACCGAGTCAGCAATTCATCGGGCACGTTTACCACAGAGACAAGCTGAAGCCTTGCGCACCAAAGTAGCTACCACCCTGAAAGTCTCCAAACCCCCTGCTAGTAACATCACACGGGAAGATCGTAGCGCTCTCAAAGATTTGGCCACCAATCAAGACATATTGATTCTTCCTGCAGACAAGGGCAGATGCACAGTAGTCTTAGACAGGGAGCAGTACGACAGGAAGGTACAGGACCTATTGGGAGACAAAGACACCTACATGCCCTTGAAAAAGGACCCCACTAACAAATTTAAAGGGAAAATCAGTTCAGTTCTCAAGAAATTGCAAAATGAAGGATTTCTGGATCGCCCCACCTACCTAAAACTCAATCCCACAACGGAACAACCCCCTGCTTTCTACGGCCTTCCCAAAATCCACAAACAAAGTGTCCCTCTACGACCCATAGTCTCCAGTATAGGCTCTGTCACCTATGAGCTAGCAGGTTTTCTAGCCAAGATTTTGGGACCACTAGTGGGGAAATCTCAGCACCATGTACAGAATTGTGCCGACTTTGTCAACAAAATCAAAGACATTCATGTAGATGGTGATGAAACCATCACTTCGTATGACTCACTTCGTGTGCTCACTTTTCACCTCCATACCACCTAAGGAAGCAGTGTCAGTAGTCAGGGAAGCCTTGGAAGCCGACGATACACTTGCAGATAGAACCAACGTATCCGTTGACCAAGTTTGTGAGCTACTAGAACTCTGCTTAGGATGCACATACTTTACCTACAAAGGACAGTTCTACCAACAAATGCACGGCTGTGCTATGGGATCACCAGTTTCACCAATTGCTGTAAACCTGTACATGGAGAAGTTTGAAAACAAAGCCCTCAGCACTTTCAATGACACTCCCCCGGCCAACTGGTTTCGATATGTAGATGACACTTGGTGCAGATTGAAAAAGAGGGTAGCTGCTGATTTCTTTGACCACATCAACCAGATAGATGACAACATCAAGTTCACACAGGAGCCAAGCCATGACAACATGCTCCCCTTCCTAGACACCAAAACTATCGTAGAGGAAGATGGTAACCTTCGTTTCGAAGTGTACAGGAAACCAACCCACACTGATCAGTACCTGGCCTTTGATTCCCACCACCCTTTGGAACACAAACTAGCAGTGATCAAAACTCTCTTCCATCGTACAGACAACATTATCACTTCAGACCAAGCCAAAACGGACGAACATAGACACCTCCGAGGTGCCCTGGCTAAATGTGGCTACCAAAACCGGACTTTCAACAATGCGCTCAAACCTTCAGATCAGTCTAAGAAAACCCAGAAGTGCAAACCATTGACCAACAAAAACAAGACCAACATCACTATTCCATATGTCCAAGGAGTTTGATTTGATTTATTGAGATGCCCTTTAGCCCCATGAGGGGCTAATCTTCCAGGGCTCATTAACAGTACAACACATAAAATACAAGCACTGAATACATACAATCATTGCAATTACACATTAAAATAATTGAGGTTGAGGCCAGAGGTCATTTAACTAATTATGACTAAAATCAACAATAAAACTTGTGAGTTACTAAATTGCTTCGAATATATACAATATTGTCAGGGTAAGCCTTTAAGTTCCATAAAGCTGACGTGTCATTTTCCGACGAGACGAGTATCTGAGAAACTCCGACGGATCTTCCAAAACTTCAACATAGCCACTAATTTCAAACCTCACTCAACCCTCAGACAAAGACTGGTACACCCTAAGGACCGACCTCACAAAGGTACCAAGGCGAATGTTATTTACAGACTCAAATGTGAGGAGCCCAATTGTAACAACACCTACATCGGAGAGACAAGTCGACCGCTCAAAGTAAGATACAAAGAACATTGCCGACCTAGTGCCAACGGCTACTCCTCAGCTATTTTCCACCACCTACAACACAACCAGGGTCACTCTTTCAAACTCGAGTCCACGGATATCTTAGACCGCGAAACACGCTGGTGGGAACGGGGTGTTAAAGAGGCAATATATGAAAGAATGTACAACCCCACCCTCAACAGGGAAGGGGGGCTACGGGTCGATCTTTCCGGCACTTGGGATTTGGCACTCCCAGCCCCGAGAACAGACAACACTTAAGCTCCTGTTCTGTATAACAGGAGCTTTCAGACTAATTTGCATCATCTTGTCTTGACTTGTCTGACCTTTGTTCCTTTTTCGACTTCCAAAAATTTGTCTTCACTTTATTTGCATATCAATCAATAGGTTGTGCTTATAAACCTGTTTTCCCCTCTGGTCTCTCAGTCACTGACGAAAGCTAGTGGATACTAGCTGAAACGTCTGACGTTTTCAAAATCATATCCAGTTGCTTGAGTAACTGCTTTTTGGCGTATCGTATTACCTGGATGTCTAACCTTCATCGACGTATTCCTATGTTGGTTTCTAAATTGATCCTTGCAAAAAATATAATATTTTAATATGAGCTTTTTCATAAAGTCCGTCTTTGCATGTTGTTCAGTCCGGTAAATCTGTTCCATATCAACAGCACCGGGCCCTCCACACGGTTTGCAAGCCGCGCAGATATCTCACGACACCGTGCACCTGACCTGGCAACCTCCGCTGAGAACCAACGGAGTCATCCGCAGCTACACTGTCCAGTACGGGGTATCGGTGACGTGCGAAACAGCAGAGTTTTCCCATCAAGTTACCACGTCAGACGGCAGCACCACTACCGTTATCGGAGACCTGGTTCCGTACACAAACTACACATTCCGGGTGCGGGGGGCGACAAGTGCAGGAGGAGGACACTTCAGCGACTGTAACAGCACAAGGACACTGGAATATTGTGAGTACTGCACTGTACTGAATATCAATAGCTTCTGTAGAATGTTGACGAGAGTGTTAATAGCACGGAAGACATTTCAGTACAGTGTTGGTTTTAGTATCCCGTACACATCTATGATGTAAACATTACTGCGAGAGATTCTCAACATACGAGTCTACAAAAGCTACAATATCTACATCATACATTCTTATGTATCCATGACTCCCAGACCCAACAGCCCCAGTTGTCCAGACGTTTACAGACCAGCACGACTGTAACTGCCGGACGCCAAACTTCCCCCGGCCGGTCCAGCTGCGTGTAGCCTGGCGGCGCCCTGACCACATCCACGGTCAGCTGCAGGCGTACCGAGTCAGCCTGTACAACAGGACCGGCGGGGAACCGTTCTACCAGGAGAACATGACGTCAGGACTGCAGCAGGAGAACCTGGCAGCTGTGGTCACATCGTCACTCCTGCAGCCTGCCAACAACTACTCTGTCACTGTGAGTCAAAACTGTAACGTCTTGATCCAATTGCGAACCATCAAATGTTTTCTGTAAATGACCTATATATATGGATACTTTAAGAATTTCATTAAAAAAGGTGCCCAATGCTAGTGATTGATCCTGCAATGATGCATTCTTAGCACAATTTAGTTAGGCTAAGGAATAGGCTAACTTGTACTGACTCATCTGTTTTGGACCATTTACGTCTGACAGATATCGGCCATTAACACCTTCTATCGTGGGCACGAGAGCCATCCATATATAGCCCGTACGAGTGACGGATGTAAGTATAAGTTTTCAAATCAGGAACACAAATTTGTGCCCGTAAAGTTGTATGCATTGTGATGATCATATCTAATATAATTCCCTGCGGTCTGTAAGGACATCCACAAGTTTGCGACATTCAAGCAATTCGTAAGTGGTTGTGGTCCACAACCACTTACGAATTGCTTGAATGTCGCATCTCCATCCGACAAACAATAATCTCATCTTAATTAGGCCCAAATGCCCCGACTGTGACAAAACTGGCAAGCAGTGAATGTGGAGTGAACTGGACAGCTCCTACAGTAACCCGAGGGAGGCTGACTGGGTACAATGTAGGTACAGTCCTTGGAATTGACATGATTCAGAAAAAGCCGCGTTTTGTGATGACATTTTCATCCTACAATAACGTTACCACAAAATTCTTAAAAGATGTGACACGCACTATAGCTAGACCAGTTGTTAACTAACTGTGATTTTTCCGCACAGGTTATATATGTCGACACGCCACTTCCTGATCCTGACGCGTCTGAACCTGTCATCAGCCGTGACCCGTTGGGTTTGGATGAACAACAGTGGTCCAAGTCACTGGCTGAACTTCCCGCCAACTCCTTGGTCCGAGTCACAGTCCGGGCGGTAACCTGTGCCGAGGGAGACAAGGGGGAGGAGGTCACTTGTCGGGTCTCAAGAGTTGGTGAGAAATAGTCATATTACGACTTGTAGACACACCTGCATATCATCTCCAAACAACAATTTAGACAAGAGAACAATGTAGCTCATGGTGACGTTTTGTAGCTCACACAATGCTATAGTAGCATTCACAATGCTATAGTAGCATTTATACTTTTCTGACAGATGGTCAATTTTGCAGTACGTGAAAAGGTACCTTACCTAAGTAATACATGTATTCTTTTACCATATGTAGAACCACCGCCGCCTCCAGTACTCCCTACCGGCCCACCCCCGATCGCTTCGGCAACATCTTTTCCCATGGTTCTTCCGAAAGTGAACGAGAGGAATGGTCCTGTACGGTACGTGTGTCCATACATTTCTTTGTTATCATGAGCAACAGTTGAACAGTTGAGGAATCAACTACATTGTCGATTATTTTCCATCTATTCTTTATTTGCCTCTTTTCACAATGACAGAGGCCAGTTTTACGCATGGTTTGCCATAATTAATCCTCTACAGTTGCTGCCAAGTCATCGTCATCACAATGACTAAAACCGAGAGCCTTGATGACCTGAAAACAAGAGTTGGAGAACCTGACGTCATACTTACAGAGGACGCTCCTGATGGCGGAAAAACTGAACCTTACGTGGCTTTGTCACTTTCGACGTAAGTTTCTTTCATATTATGAACCATAGATCTTTCTACAAAAGATACTACATTGTAGCTTACCATTACCAGAACACATTACACTCGGCGAAACATGCTATAGCATCCGTTTCAGGGATGGTTACAAATATGGCGTCTAATAGTGAAATGTTGTAGTTTGTATCGTCATCACAGGCTTTTCTATGCTTTGTTATGTAAGAATTACATGTGCTTCGTGGCAGTTTACTCAACATCTCGAAGTAAAGCTTTCGTTTTTGTAAAGCAGAATTTTGCAAAGTGGTTTCAATGCAATGACGATGCATGCTTTGTAACACTCTGTGCATTCCTCCATCAGAGACGACTACAAAAGAACCGATGCAGTACAGATCGGCGACGGGGGACCCTGTGGTCACGAGTGGTGCTGTGAGCGGAGTGAACTCGCCGATCCTAGGCGGGCACAGACTCCTGGTAATAAGAAGCTCCAGTCAGGGAGCAAGTACACAGCAGCAGTGCGATGTTACGTGGACTCTGGAGCCAGGAGACGCAAGCGGAACACGGAAAAAGTATGTATAATGTAGTTGAACGTTTAAATTTGGTCATCTTTAGAGTTTCCACCCTAGATTTTGGTAATTGTTCAATTCATATTTCTGTGCCCAGCAATTACATATGAACTGCATTAATTGACAGTTTGTACGCCCTTATCCATTGGAAACGTTTCCATTTTCAGTTATTCACGACAAGTGGGTACATGGAACCTGTTATCACAGAAATGGACAACCAAGGTAAATCCAATGGATTACAGAATGATACATATTTATATCTATGAACTGTTTTTCCTTCCATTTAATATTTACAATTGCCTTTAAGTTTATTATCTTCGCCTGCAACGTATGGGGCCAGAAGCTTCTGAAAAAAATAAAAAGTGCATGGTACCCGATGGTTTAATTCCCTTTTAGCTTTTCAAGGATTCTCAAGAGAAAACGTAATGGACGATCATTGTTAATAACAACTCTCTAACTGTGTTGTTAGTAACAATGCAATAGTGGTGTATTATTTTCCCAACGTAAATGATTGATGTGACTATCTTTCCCTTCTATTCCCTTATAGAAGAAACTGTTCCTCTCGTCCCCATCATCGCTGGCGTTGCGGCTGCTCTACTGGTGGCTGTGCTGGTGACAGTAGGGATCATATGTTACAAGTAAAATAAAGCCTCTATTCAAAGAAAACGCAATCCATTAATGTGTCATGATTAAGCACCCTGTGTAACGACTGTAATCTTGTTTGCTTGTTTTGCTTGTTTGTTTGTTTGTTTGTTTACTTATTGGTTTATTTGTATCAACAACAGCATGACTGGCAGCCGTGATGTACAATGCTAACTTTCGATGCTTGTTTACAACATAAATCATTCATAGTTCATCTTCATTCATCTTCGATATGTTAAAGGAAAAGAAAAGCCAATGACGACCAGCATGCTCCAGGTGTTCAGCTAGATCTGAAGATAATCAAAGGAGACGAGCCCTCCGCCACGGAATCAGCTGAAAATCCTGCATGTAAGACGCTGGATGAAGACAATTATCTTTATGAAACGGTAACTATACAATTATATAGTAATTTGAATGCACTTTTTTTTTCATGCTTCACTTCAACTGATGATGACTGTTTTCTACTACAATTTACCATTTACTGCTTTCTGCTACAATTTACCATTCACTGCTTTCTGCTACAGACCATTTACTGCATCCAAGACCTTGTCACTGTGGACGACGTAGTGGAATTCCTGAGGTGCAGGGGTTTTGGGCAGTACGCTGCAGCATTTAGGCGTAAGTTCCGTTCTGCTCATCGTTTCTTTTTTTTTAAGCAGGGGAAAAAGGGTTAATTGTGATTCTTCCGCTGCATCATGCTAAGGCTACATCAATACGGATTCGGAGGAAAGATGATACATGTATCTATACTGTCCATGTTGATAAAATGATATACTGCTTGTTGATGTGGTGTCTGTTTCTCAGGACACAAGATAGATGGAGATGTAGTCTCGAATCTGAGCGACTCTGTGCTTGCTGAGCTCATTCCTGAGATCGGACCGAGGGTCAAACTACAGAAAGCACTGCAGGAGCTGAAGGACAATTCGGTTTGCCTCCTTTTCTGTCTCATCGATTACCCAAGATTGCCATGTATCTATCTTCATTCACTAACCCTTTTCAATTTAAGTCTGCAATGTGAACTCTAATGTTTCATAAGAGTGAATGATTTAAAAAAAGGTCATGGTGTTACACATGGCCACAATACAATGCAAGGGACATTTCTCTGCTCCCAGACTTCAGGACCATCCAAATAATGGCAATGTTGCTTAACGTTGCGTGCTTTCCAGAAAGACGATTAGATTTCTACGTAGTATATCTGTGATACAACATCTTCGTACTTTGTGATGAGGTAGTTGACTGCTGCTGATGGCTTTTAGCCAGGCAAATACATGTATTCGTTATCCCCTCACTTTAAGGACTCCGCTGAAAGCAGCAAACCTGTTCACGCTGACTGGGAAATCCCCAGGTCCAGTCTGACGCTCGGTAAAGTCCTGGGGAAGGGACAGTTTGGAGAGGTCCGTCTGGGGGAGCTGAGGAAGAGAGGTGTCACTCAGACCGTGGCAGTCAAGACACTGAAAGGTGCCTTTCATTCATTGCACATAATAAACACATGCCCTTAACATTCATATAAACACATGTCCTTCGACATACCAAAGCAAGCATGCTGCCTGGTCGCATGCTAGCATCAATAGCCATCATATTGTTTAAGAGAAAAATGGACTATAGGGGTAAAAGAAACGCTTGAAAATCTGTTTTCCTTGTTACAAGTAGTAAGATATAGATAATGACTGTGGTATCTTTCTTTTTACTATCTTAATTTTCCAGCATCTGCCGAAGACAGGGACAAAGAGGACCTGTTGGGGGAGCTGGAGATTCTGGTCACTGTCGGTCGTCATGACAACATCATCAGTCTGGTTGGCGCATGCACAGTTGAAGGTAATACTAGGGTTAAAATTCAAATTTCGCGATGTGAGGTCAATACTTCTATCACGTGCACAGGTGTAACTTCTACCGGGCGGTCTGTTGAGCTAGGCGGGCGAAAACTATTAGAGCCCCGATGACTGGCTGCCCCAACCACGATAGACTGGATACCAGGCTACAGAGCGCCAGCTGCACTAGACAAGCACAGGAAAAGGTATAGAAAGACGAGTGGCCCGATCTCTGTCATTCTTGAGAAAGACTGAATAAAGTCGAAACCGGTTGAATTCCATCTTAGCGCTGTCATTTTCCCAAAGGTACGAATGATGTCAGAAAATGTTTGTCAGATTAGCGATCTATCAATCAATCCGTTCATCCACTCTAGGTCCTCTGGCACTTGTGGTTGAGTTCGCACCAAACGGCTGTCTGAAGGACTGGCTGAAGGACAACCGTCCTGAGGAGATGGACCAGACAGACGACAAAAACATCCCCACCTCCGGGGTTCAGCTGCCGATGGACCAGCTCATTCTGTTCGGTATTGACATCGCGAATGGGATGAGTCATCTGGCAGCCATGCAGGTACAATGTACACAACAGCACGTTTGCTGATTTTTCTAGACACAAATGCATCTGGAGATCTGACCATGGCCCTATTTTACGTTCAAAATCGTGTCTATATAGTCCGACCTAGCACATCATATGTTGTTGTGATGACAAGTAACTACAACGTACAGATAATCTTAAGGTGGGGAGACGAAAGACGCACTGCATGATAGACAATGTTGAAATAGAATCTAAGAAAGAAAGATACTGGGGAAGGAACATAAAAAGGCGACCGAAAGTCGGTTAGAAAATACATCATATTATAAACCTGTATCGTTGTCCATCAGCCTCTAGATCTATGCTAACCTTGACATTTCTAAATGATGAATGTAAAAGCTCATGTTTTTCCTGGTTTCTGTCACGTGTTATATAACTGCACTATGCTCATATGGTATGACAATGTAACGTTCGTCCATCCAGTGTGTCCACCGTGACCTTGCCGCCAGGAACGTGCTCCTCGGGAAGGACCTGACGGCCAAGATCTCCGACTTTGGTCTGTCGCGGGATATCTACGAGGAGTCTGAGTACGTCAAAAGCACTAAGGTATCATATCTCCGTCTTCTGATAGTCTTTAAAACTAGTATAATCTTGAAAAGCCAATTAATGAGGCTGCTGTGAAATAGATATGAGTCGTTTGCAAAATATGTCAATCTAATGTGTTCTGATCATATTTTCCTTTTCCTTTTTTCCTAACACAGAGCCAGCTTCCCGTCCGTTGGATGGCATACGAGTCCCTTTTCTACCACACGTACACCACACAGAGTGATGTGTATGTATATGCTATTGGCACTTTTATACATCTACACATAGCTACAATTCATAAATCTATTTATTTGCATCTGTGTAGTATAGAATTCATATCGATGTACAGGATGAAGTTAAAAGAGAATATAGACGTGTTGTATTTTCCATGTTTCAGGTGGTCCTTTGGAGTCCTTCTGTGGGAGATCATGACAATGGGTAAGGAAGCACAGACAATGTATTTGACGCACTTTGCAAGAGAAGAGGTACATATTCAATGAAACATGTTTTTGACACAACGTCATTATGCGCCATCAGCAGCTATGAAATGTGATATTGCATTCTTTCAATGCTTTACACAACCGTTTCCGCTGTTCTGTGATATATACGTTCTTCATGATTTACATGTAGGTACCTTGTCTGAATGTCTCAATATATGTATGGCCACAAGTACAATTTTGTGTTAAACCGTGATATACTTAATCCTCCAGGTAAGAAGCCGTACGGTCGGATGACCGGCAAAGACCTCATGAAACTGTTGCCGGATGGCTACAGACTGGAGAAACCTGCTCTATGTCCTCAGGAGATGTACGCCCTTGTATTCAGCCTTGTTTTATTCATAAGCCTAGAACGACAAAGGTTGCGGCCTCCGCAGAGGTGCCCTCAGAACTCCGCATCTAGCCATGTGCCGTGTGCAAAAACCTCTGGGGAGGCCTGTGAGCGCACCTCTAGATCTAGAGGCTGCCACTTTTGTCACTCTGGGCCTTCGTAGTTTTAGTGTAGTTCAGTGACGGTTTTTGTATTGGCTATTGCACAGTTCCACTAATGAGAAGACTTACGCCCTATCAGCTTATGATAGAATTTCAGGCCTGTTCCGTTGATGCAAATATTCTGTACCCAACAGTTACGATGTGATGAGGTGCTGTTGGGAAACCCTCCCTGAGAACAGACCAACTTTCCCGGACCTGAAGGTGACTCTGGACCGGATCATTCAAGATTACAAGGTAGCGTTTTCTCTGAAATGCACGACTTTTGTTTAACTTTATGCTACAAACGGTATATTTCATCCCTAATTCCTCTTTGTAGCAGACCTATCCAGCTTCTGCAGCTCTATCTTGGACCAGGTAAATAAATCAGTACCAGGGCGTAGGATGGCATAGGATGGCTGCGATCAACGATTGTCTTGAATTTGGAAACCAGCAAAGTATTGTTTGTTTCTTTTGCAGACATATGCCTCATTGTTGAGGTAAGAAACTGCGGATAGAATGAGAGAGACGGAGAAGAATCCTTTTGACAAGAATGAAACTTTCAATCATTTTCTAAATATCATATAGCCGGAATGACTTACTAGTATCTATACAATCCTACTAGGAATATCAAGCATAAGAACGAATATCTTACACTAATTATGGAACATTATACTACTCCCTTGTGATTCATTTTTGTCACAAACACAGTACATATACTGCACAAGCTGCATCATAATAAAAAATACATGTATATTAAGGACAATTCACTGTAAGAACATAAGAACAAATATATTACACTAATTATGGAACATTATACTACTCCCTTGAAGATTCATTTTTGTCATGTCCATTAATTGCTTACATTTTTATCATCAAGATATTTACATTATGTATGTTTTAATTTATGTAACCAAGAATAACAGTTATGTTAAAAAAAAAGAAAATCCCTGACAGTCTGCAGCTAAAACAAGATGGAGACTGAAACAAAAATTGCCAACATACATCTTATACCTGCTACCAATGTCCAGTAGGTTGATAACCAAATCACCCGGCACTGCAAATTCTAAAATTGCTGTCAATTACAGGTTTGTATCATGATAGAATCCTTCAGCCTCACAGTAGTGTACTTATAAGAAGTACATATATATATATATATATATGTGTGTGTGTGTGTGTGTGTGTGTGTGTGTGTGTGTAAAACTAATAGGGGTTGTCCGTAGATGCTGAATGCTGAACAATTTTCCTTTGTATTTTATATCTGTCTCTCTCTTATATTTGTCTCTTATATTTCATATCTGTCTCTCTCTTATGCCTGTCTCTCTCTTCATATATATATATATATAGAGAGAGAGGGAGAGAGAGGGAGAGAGAGATAGATAGATATATAAATCTGTATATAGATAGATAGATAGATAGATAGATAGATAGATAGATAGATCACAAACACATCTAAAAAAACATCGAAGTATGTACAAACAAGAGTTCCACGATCTCATACCTTCGCCAAATAATGTTAACCCTTGCGGGTGATGAATTATACAATTTTAATCATTGATTTTGTAAATAAGAGCCTCATTTGCATGGATTATATCAGTTGATCATATTCTCCACCCAATGACAGTCTTCTATTAACAAAAAGGCTATTATAGCACTTCCACATAAATTATGCAAATTAGGTCATGATTTGAATAAATTATGTTTATTGATGTTCACCTTCACTTAACTTCCAAATGTGGCAAGTATAAATTCGGGGTGCAGCAGTTACAACTATGGAATTATAAACATTTCCATTAATTATGCAAATTAGGTCCTCATTTACATAATCTATATCCTCAGATGTTTTTCTCGTTCTCAAGTAGATGCCACAAGTGTTTCATAGTTCTATTATCGAACAAAGCAGATTTATAGAATTTCCTCATTAATTATGCAAATTAGCTCCTGATTTGCATAATTGCCATCTGATTATGTCAAGCATCACTTCAACTACCTACATACCAAAAATCACGACAATACGTCAACCGGTTCTTGAGTTATCGCTCAGTTGGTGTAAGGCGTCCCACGGTTAACCACAGCAAAGATCTCATTTAATATTATAATGACCTACTTGAATATTGTAATGAGCCAAATGCAGTCTTGAAGCTTGTACATATGCAACAGTTTGAGTGATAACCCAGTGTCTCTGCCCCGCCTGCCGTTTTGCATTTCATTTGCGCGCTAATTCCATCCTGTGGAGTTAATTGGTACCCCTCTCTTTTGTTTTCAATTGGCTGATCAAGAGCAGAACGGATGTCAGGCTTGCATAAATACTAGTAACACAGACAAAACAACTGTAAGCAATGATCAACAAGTTCTATTTGAAGCTCTTGCTGTAAGTTACAACACATTTATTCTGATCTGAATCTGGCCCCCAAACAACCTGAAGATATATTATGTAAGTTACCTCCAGCATGACCTACAAAGGGCCCCTTTAGGAAGGGCCACGAATATTAGAACCCATAAAAAAATGGGATAACTGACAAGGAGAGTGGGCCACAGTGATTCCCTATAACACTAACAGATAAACATGGCCTCCCGAGCTCACCCAACCATCATGATGGTGATATAACCTCCTTGGTTAAGAGTCGGGAGCAAGGTCGGCTACAGTGTTCGGCTGTGCCAGTTTAGTATCTAAAACATTAGGGTGTGGACAGTACGTTATTAGAAATTGTTTGGAACATCTTGGAAAAGGTTTAATAGCCCCAACTATTTCCGATAAAGCTAATCTCTGCAAATTCACCCAGTATTGACCCGTTCAGACTATATGCCAGACAGTTCCCAGCCTCAATACACATGCTAGGCCCTGTTATTAGACTCGGTTAGACAAAGGAGATATGATATACCAAGAGACCATGGAGTTTGGTTAGACTAAGGAGGTTATATTTAACCTCCTTGGATAGACCCTGTGAAAAAACTTTCGGAAGGGAAATGCTGTCCCCTGGATTGAGAAGGTAGCCTACATAGCAGCCCTGGTAACAGTCTGGCACCCAGGCTATGAGCCGTATAAACCTTTCATTCAATTGTTGTCAATTTGTTACTGTCTGTAAAACATTTTCTTTCAAGACCTATATTGAAAAAAAGGAAAGCTGGGCCGAGCTGTAGTGAACAATTACTGCGCATAACAAAAGACTGCCAACCTTTTGTCTTGTGGCAAGGGCAAATTACAGATAATTACGTCTCATAGAGGTGCTAAATACACGACTAATTGGCCTACCGACGTGATTGACAGCTAGAATTTGCTAAGAAGGTAAAGATTCATAATCTTAACTTTGAAGCATTTTGAGGAACTATAGCCATGCCCAGGGAATGTCAGATTCAAAGTAGAATGATTAGTAATGTCCTGAACTACCCAAACCTGTTTAGATCCTTTTGCTTATCATGAACTGTCTTTTGATATAGGGCAAGGAAGTTAGGGTTACCCTAAAATTATGGCATTGAAATGGACAAAAACATATTTCATAAAAAGCAGGAATAATATTTCAAATATATCAAAACAGTTTCTAAATGGTGACAGATGTAAGAATGTACCCTCCAAAAAGCGTCTGTCTATGATGTTGGCTATAGTTCCTCGATTTACGTTTTCTGTTTAAGAATTATGCATCATATCAGACATAGAAATATGCAAATATAAGAAATATAACAACATGAAAGTAATATTTCAACACTCAACAAGTTGTATTTAGCCTTTCCCCCAAGTTTGAACCATTTCTGACCAGCTACGGCTGAGTTATGGCATTTTTCTGAAAGGACCTGAAAAATCAGTAAATTGGCACCGTGGGACGCCTTACACCAACTGAGCGTCCTTCAAATTTGTTTCAACAAATGCTCCTGCAGTTCCAGAACAAGGCGCTAGGGGACCCAAACTCATGTCACTTCTTCCCTACCCCAAGAGCTATCTACCAACCAAAATTCGTGACCAGCATGTCCAGAACATGAAATATCAAAACCGGAAGTTCAGTTGCAGTACCTAGGAAAGCCTCCAGGGGGCCCAAAATCTAATCATTTCTAGGTCTCATGAAGACCTACCCACCTACCAAGTTTCATTCCAATCCATCCACTGCTTCTCGAGTTATCTTGCTAAACCACACACACACACACACACACACACACACACACATACACACCCACACACAGACAAACGCTACTGAAAACATAACCTTCTTGGCGAAGGTAATAATTAAGCTATCCTGTCGCAAGGAGGGCGGGCCAATCTACAGTGATGTCACCAGAACAGGCTAAAGGAAAAAAGCCTTCGAACGAAGTAACAGTTTGAAGATGGCGTTCTCAGACCCTATCAAGCGAGAGGCAAACGAATACAGCAGTTTCCGGCGGTTGGCATCAAAAGCATCAACACGCATCTTCACAAATAAGTTGCTGTTACGAGTACTTCTCGGCTGGGACAATAGCATTTTAGGCCATCATGGTAGGTACGTCGATGAAGGTTAGACATCCAGGTAATACGATATGCCAAAAAACAGTTACTCAAGCAACTGGATATGATTTTGAAAACGTCAGACGTTTCAGCTAGTATCCACTAGCTTTCGTCAGTGACTGAGAGACCAGAGGGGAAAGCAGGTTTATATACACAACCTGTTGATTGATATGCAAATAAAGTGAAGACAAATTTTTGGAAGTCGAAAAAGGAACAAAAGTCAGACAAGTCAAGACAAGATGATGCAAATTAGTCTGAAAGCTCCTGTTATACAGGACAGGAGCTTAAGTGTTGTCTGTCCTCGGGGCTGGGAGTGCCAAATCCCAAGTGCCGGAAAGATCGACCCGTCGATCGACCCATCGACCCGACCTACATCATGGTAGGTAACTCGTAACCTATGCAGCTCTGTAGCTGGACTAGCGCTGGGCATAATACATTGCACTTCCGTGTGAAGATATGAAGACTTTGCTAGGAAAGTTCTCCAATCGCAGGACTTCCAACACTGGCTAACACCACTGAGCGCACCACTCGCTCCAGTAACTGAGTCTCACCAAATGTACAACATAACGTTATAAACTGACTATCATTCCGTACATGACTTACCTCTTGAACAGTCATTGTTTATCTTAGTGACATCCATATCCATCATGGATGCAGCATGTCAAAGACTTTATTGATCTAGATTGCTTGTGTAAATGAATGTGTAATGAATACTGTTGTACAGCAGGACGTAATTCAGCCGTTGGCTGCAAGGTCCTTGTTTTTATGAATAAAATACCATTTGATTGATTGATTGATTGATTGATTGATTGATTGATTGATTGATTGATTGATTGAAGAGAATGCGTTTTACCTTGGGAGAACAGTGACCAAATTTGCGGATAAGTGACTTAGCTTTTGTATAAATGTGTCGAGTTTGTTTACGAATCCAGTCATCATCGGAGAGATCGGGAGTAATTCAAAAACCTAGGTAGTCACCGAAGAATCGTACAACTTGTCTGTACAACTTCACTGTCGTACAACTTCACTGTGGGTAGCAATTCGATTACAAGGAAAATATACAGTTTGTTTTCTTGGCACGAAAAAATTATATCGCTATCGGTACCATTAAACAGTTTCTGTTTCACCATCGCAAACATTAATCAGTTTCTGTAAAGCTTTCGCTGAGGGGCAAATTAAACACAAGGCAATAAGGCAATAAGCTCCCTGGGGGACACCGTTACTTCAATTGAAACGGTGGACCCCCAGCGCACCCTAAAGATTAACATGCAAAACCAAGAATTCGGAGATCTCATACCTCCATGAAATATATGTCTTTTTATTTGTCTCATTGACTATGGAAATAAGGTCGTAATTAGCATAATCTAGTTTAATTTATGGTTTTATAAATTCAAATGACAACATTTTTCATGTAAAATTTCTCTCCTTTGACATACTTTATTTCAACATGTCCTCATTAATTATTCAAATGACCTCTACATTAACATAATATATGCATAGTGGTGTTAACCTTTAAGTAACTAGCACATGTCACAAGGTATCAAATTCCCATTATTCACCAATAACGAGTCACACAATTTTCACATTGATTATGCAAATTAGGTCATAAGTTGCATAA